GGTATCTAAATAATAATAGTGTTCTGTTATAGATTAGTTATATTAACAGTATAATTACCTTAAAGACATAATCCAGGCCTAAGCCTTCTATGGCCAGTAGGGCAGCCACAGTTTTGATAAAAACTGTCCTCCCAGTTATATATTTAAATACTATTAAAGCCTGATGCATGAAAATCTATATTATAACTAATCTTTAGTTGTAATGATTATTCGTGCATATAATATTATAAGTAGTGGGAGTCAACATAAGTATAAAGTAACAAATAACAAACAAGAGATAAAAAGCCGGCTTTTATCTTATGTTTTAATTTTTAGAGTAAAGGACTTAACAAGACCAATTATAGCTTTCAGAGAAATATTTATATTTATTAATAATAGGTTTACACTCCGGGCTATCAGCTGCTGTCTTGGTATCTTAAAATATTATATTAAATATTTAAGGGCATACTTACTTTATTGGCTAGAAATAAGCACTGGGGCCACTAGACTGAATATAGATGATTTAGTTTATATAGATTAAGTCTTCCAGATTTGGATAAGTGTGAATACTGTCTATTGAATATATATTAGGCTGAATGTGGATAACTTGTTCCGCGTGGAATAAGTCGTCCAGATTTGGATAAATATAATTAGTCTATAATAACGTATGTCGGTACCAAACTAGCTTAATAATTTATTAAAAAAAGCGATATTCCTTTCTAATTTTATTAGATATAATTGTCCCTGCTCCTATAATTATTTCCATGCTTTAATATTACAGTTAAGTCAACAAGAAAGAGCTAGTAAATATATAGTCTATTTTATAAAGTATGGAGGTTAAGCAGCGTAAGTTAAATTATTCTATTGATTCTTGACAGATCTAATATTCTGCAGTATTTTGCTATACTGAAACTAATAATAAGTATTGGTTTTACATTCCTATAGCACGCCTACTTATTAGAATTATGTGGGACCTTTATAAGAGATAGCCGCTTACTAGTGGGGAGATATATTATTTTATAATAGTGTTTAATAAATCTATAACCTGCCAAAATAATTATGCAAAAAAGCTTTATAAAAATGCTTAAGTTAATTTAAGTGATGATGCTTATGCCAGAAGCAAGGAAAAGCAATAGGAACAAGCTACTTTATACGTGGGAAAGACTGGAAGAGTCTTATGGGAAAATAATCTAGTCCTGGTTTAACTAAAAAGGCTAAAACTAGAAAAACTGTATATTAAAGTCTGTACTAACTGTTGTGACTACAGCTATAGTTTAAATATATATATAACTATAGAGGTAATTATTGATATATTTGAGTATTCGGAAAATTAAGTTAACTTTGACTATTTATCTTGTAATCTAGCTTTCCTCTTACTAAGGGCCTTAATCTATAAAATTAATATATCCTCATAGTTCCAAGGAACTAATGACACGGTATTACCATAGTCTTATATAGTAAAAATATAAATAGCACTAACATACCGGGCCGGCAGGTGTATGTATATAAACCTTTTTTAAAGTATGTAAAACTGTTTGGAGGTAGTACAGTTTATAATCCTATTTCAAGATAAATCAAGCATAGTCTCTTTAAATTTCCGATCCTGATATACTAATTACTGGCTTTAAACTCTTGCTACTTAAGAGCTCTGTCTATCTATCTAAAAACTATAAAATGGAATTGAGATGCCTAGAAGCTAGATGAAGGCCCATACCAGCCAAATCAGTATAAACTAAATCCCTGTCGGTGACCCACTTAACAAGCACCTGCTGGTGGGCTTTGACCTGCATGGAAAGAATGCTGGTGTATTATAGAGCATGGTAACTCTTTACAAGAACATCAGTTTAGACTGTAATGAGATGATCGGTACGAAATCTGTATAATAGATAATTAGTGTATAATAATTGAAAATGGAGACCAAGGATTATATAAAGATTTCCGCGGTATAAAATCCTAAGATTTAGATATTAAAAGGATCTCTTCTCTGTTATATAATTAACTTTATTTATTAATCTTGATAATTGGAAGTCTATAACTAGGATATAGAAAAGATATTAGCTATAAAAATATTAGTCTTATTTTATATTCTTATTATAACTTGGCTCTGGCCAATCTATCTTTTTATTACTTTTATCTAAAGTAATTTTATCTTTTATTAATATATTCTGTATTATGAGCCTTGTCAAATCCTAAAAAGCCCTTATTTCCACCTTAGATAACACAAGACTAACAGCCCTCGAGGCGACTAAAGAAATTGTTATAAAATACAAGAATATTCTACTAATATTTTAATCAGGCCAGCTAATATAATAGCTGATAGATATTATTAAAATCAAGTAATCTATTCTATTAATATTGGCGAGTAATGCTACCTAGCAGACACCACGCCTATTTAATATAAAATAACCGGCACTAGACATCATTAAAGCCGAGAAGACCGGAATATCTATTTTTAGAGACTACAAAGGATAGGAGATAAAAAGAGGCTAATTCTATATTTTATTTTTAGCTTAGTTCCAAAGATATCCTGAGAATATATATTTAGTGTTATATCCGGAAAAGATTAATGCCTATTATTTATTTTTAGAATACCGGAAGCTTCTTGAAATCTAGCTGGAATCTGTAAAAATAAAAGTACTATAGACGAAACTTGAGCGTGATTTTGATCTAAGGTGAGGTGATTGGTTTAAAGTTTCTGTATGAGGATTTTGATTTTACTGTGTATGCAAGAGCGTGACTGGCATTGTTCTTGATGTAGTACATGGGAAATGATGAGAGTGCTCGGGACTGGCAAGGGTGTAATCTTAGTGCCACAGCAATAATCCATGACCAAAGATATGCAGCCACACAATCCCTAGAACGCTTACCCTAATAGCTGGAATGGTGGATAAGGACAAAGAGAGAATGAAACTGGAAGTTCAACTCTTTTCGCTATTCTATATTTGATTCTTGGCGTGTGGCGGGGGGCTGGAAGACTGATATGCCTTGAATCGCTATGTACATCATACGGAAAGCTCGAGCTAGGATTATGTTTTTATTAGTCCTGTTGCTATCCGAATGCATGGTAAGATTAGTAGGCAAGCAATAAACAACATAAATAGGCGCAAGTATTCTGTCAAAGAATATGCACATTACCGATAACCATGAACACTCTTCTCTTCACCAGTATATTACTCGTGCTTGTGCCATTAGGACTTTTCCTTATATTATCTTTTCTACGTCCGTTCTTTAAGGAAAGATACTTTCCAGACCTCGAATTGGCTACTGTTTCTCCTTATTCGCATATTAATTAGAGTTTGCTCTATATTTCTTAGAGCACTGTTATCAGAAGAGTGTGCCATTTGTTAACTAGTAGTAAGGGGAACCCCTTCACACACAAGACATAATTTAAAAGCTTATGGCATGAGGACTGCAGGTATTATAGTTATAATGTTACAGTCTATAATAGATCAGAGGGCTTGAGATGGCTCGAATAATAGCTGGGTGGAACGAAGTCCTCATATGTATCTGAGAGGATTTTGCTGTGCATGCAGAAGAGGCACTGGAGTAATCTATGGGAGTGTCTGTTATAATGAATATGGTCATAAGAGATGCCCGGAGTGCCTGGAAATAACAAGGGAGAGGAGGTTTCGAAAAGAGACAGGGATTGCTAGAGCTTACTGCAGTGGGAAACGTATATGATAAGACACAATGCTACCCTGTACTAGTGGTTTAGTAAAAGTTCCATCTCGCAGCATTAGCTTATTGATGGCCTGGAACACTCCGCATGCATCTAGTTTGATTAGGATGAGCCCTTGGCCGTACTGTGGCTGGCTCTGCGGCATAAGACTAGCCAGCCTGCAAAGTTTACTTGACTCAGGGCATAGTGACGGGTTTCTGGATAATAATGCTTACTATCTAGGCAAGCAATGGCCACTCGGAACATTCGAAAAGGCAGGCCTGGCCGAGGCGCATACGACACCACAGGCGTGAAAAAGCCAGGAGCACCACCTCCGCCACCAACAACTCGGTAAACAATTGGATGGCCACGCTATGAGGCGACTGGCAATGAACGGAGGAAAGGAAGAGCTTTTTTTTTCTTTTTCTTTTAACGCATGTAATGGCCAGTATCAGGTTGTATTGTGCTGATAGCAAGGGGATCTGAATTGCCTGTGCCTCTGAGATCTGGGAAGTTATAAATTCAGTATGTAGCCCAATTATCCCATATATATTTCTGCACTTATTCAGAATTTCATTCCATACGGTAGTTCCTTTCTTACTTCTAAAGACGTCTTTATGGCTAATAGCCTCTTAGGTCAAGATCAAAAACTATGTGTTGGGCCTTATATTACTCCTTTTCTTGCGAAAGAAAGATGAATACGCCGGGATTCTGCGTTGTTTCCGGAAAAACTGTCAGCCAACAGTAAGGAGACAAGAATTTCGCAAAGGATGCGGACATTGTGATAAATGTAAAACGAGTTGAATTAGGCCTGGTTAGTGGGAAAGAGGAAATTTCTATAGTAAGTATTTTCTTTTCTTTTCGTCTATTTACGCTATGATGAATGGGCTAATACATCTGCACAAAGCCCCAACAACAACCGCAAACGGAAGGTCCAGGTCTCTAGGGCAAGATTTCAGAGCTCATTTCTGTCAGCCAATGATCATTTTTAGGCCCCTATCCAAGCATATAGTGGTCAGGGGCGTCGTTTTATGAGACCAGGCTATGTTTATGTGACCTAGGCGCTTGTCCAAGGATAATTTTTGGTGTGGTCTTCTAACCAGAATCCATCTCCTATTAGTAGATAAAAAATGACAAAAATATGTAATATTCTATTCTAAGCCTTGTATTGTGTGTCCATCGGAAAGTACTAGGTATCAATAGGGAAAGAGGCTGAAACTTGGATTCAGCTATTGCCAGCCTTGCATGCTTTTTATTCCGTTGTGGGAAGCCTCACGCTGAAGTGACAGAAACTATATAAATTCAGCTAGGCCTCCCAGTTCTAGGCTCATAATCAAAAGCCTTTCTCCAACTGTAGCATAAGATGTCCGGAAATATAGGGTAGGTCCATTTCATGCAGCTGCATAGCAGTTTACTGACAATCTCCCAGGCACATTATCAAAGCCATCCCAGGCCTATCAGATAAAATAGTCGACTTTTTGGATCGACGATTATCCAGGCGGCCAAGCAAACCTATAGACCGGCATTCCTTTCAAATACTCATTCGACAATTGTCTAAAACATACCTTGAAAATACCGATCCATCCATGTTCCTCGTCGGTATTGGAATACGGCTTGCAATATCGAGGCATTTAATCGCCTCCACGAGAAACTTTGAAGATATTTACCGTGTAATGGAAGTCTTGCATCACACTATTAGGGGTGCAGAAGTTTCCGAATTTTTGGTAACGGGCGTTTTGGTGAAGCTTGCTCAGTATACTGTGGAGCAGGAAAATTATGCTTCGAAAGAGTCTATGGAGTTCACCAAAATTCACCTAGCAGAGTTGTGTATAGCGGAATCTGCTCCTGTCTGCACGGCCACTGAATATATCTGCAACTATGGGGAAAGACGGCTTTCCAGAACATCTCACGAGGTGGCTTGTGGCTTAGTGCTCCCACGGCGAGTCCATGCAACGTTCTTCTTGCACGACTTATTCTTCTTGTTGAAAGAGATCCGCAGAGCCTACTTGGTATTCTTGGAGGGTGAACAGTCGGGCCTGCAGACGATACTACTTGGTTTTATCCAAAGCTTCATTGAAGTATTCCGAACCCTGATAAAGGAATGGTCATGTCCAAAACTCGACCCGATCCAATTTGGACAAGAATTTGAGCTATATTCACTTTTAGGAGTGGTTACTATGCTTTTGGACCATTTACGGAATGGAAATACGGATCTTCTTAGGTGTATGGATTTTGCCATACAAGGTGGCGATAACGCGTTGTGCGAAATTAGGAAAGAGCTTCGCAACTCTATGCGGCGTGGTAACCTCAGCCGTGAAAAGTTACCATATGCTGCTGTGGCTTTTGGCCCGTCATTGGATCTCTTACAAGAGCAATTATTGCGTTTGCAGAAAAAAGCTGGCCTGTCCTGATTTGCTGACGCTGGGACCCTGTTGCGCCACCCTTATCGCCAATAACTTATGGAAAGCTATTTACCCATCAAAAGAAGGTAGGACTATAGTTAGTGCGAACTTGGGAATATTTTAAAAACAATGAAGACATTGCCCTTTCTGATTTTCTTCGAAAGACTTCGAACTTTGAATAACTTTTCTGCTGCCCTGACATCGTTATCGGACAATTATTTCTTTTACTCGATACATATTTCACAATGCAAAGCTATACTGTTGACACCAATTTTGCTTCACTTCCTTCCTCACTAGAAGAGCGTAAGCATGAGACTACTCTTTGCTGATCTCCCAAAAATACGGCACAATTTCTCGCTGCTAACAATATCACAATTCACACACGAGAAAAAAAACCCCTGTGTACATTGAAGATATATCACCTTTCAACGAGACTATACTAGTCACTCAGCAGAAACGATTTGACCTTGGTTTTCAACGGATCCAGATGTGTCTGTTGAATATCCTAGGCTTGTTTACCTTACATCGGAAAAGCGCGCTGTTAGCACTTCAGTTCAAGCATCTCCAAATTTCAGTCCAAAAAGATCCTCGCGGGGGACCCCCTATTCCATTAATTGAGCTGGGAACTGATGCAACCAAAAGGTATCTCGGCCTTACTAAACTGTAAGCCTTTTACTAAATCCATACCTTTTCCTTTATCTAACATGCATAGGACAACCTTTGCCCTTCCTGAAGTAATCCATGGTCCATCTTTGATTACCTGCTATTAGGTATTTCAGCTCATAATAGACTACTCTACTGAGTATATTATCTATTTAAAAGGTAGGATATCCTTAGATTTCTGTATCTTAAAATGTTTTTCAGTATATCAAACAATACCTCGAATCTCTAGGGCCTGTGATTATTGCCACAAAAACCACATCAAAGTAGGATTATTTTTGCTCCTGAATAATATTATATCTTATATTTTATAGTGCTCGGATATAAAGCCTTGCTATACATGTGCAAGACTGGACGAATATTATTTACAGATGCGGTCCGGTAGGACTACAAGCATAAATCCATCCGGACTGATCCCGATTACAATAACTATGGAACCAAGTTTCACGCAATATTCTAAGCGATATAATATCAAGCTTTCTAAGGTCATAATCCAAAAAATAGAAATATCACATAGAACTATTTATTGCAAAAGTAAACATAAAGCCTTATATAAGGAATTAGCTGCCGTATTAGAAAGATATATTTTCTTAATAGAGTATTATTTATTTAAAACTCCTAAAAGTAAGGTTTCTGCGGAGGCTTTCCCTAAAATTTTGTCTGATATTTCGGAGATATTTTATTCTGATTCTTCTTTATGTACTTGTTAGTTTGGCCCTTCCAGTTTTCACAGTTTTAATTCTGTATAAATTAAAATTTATTTATCTTATACCTAATAATAAAGGACAGCTGGAAAGCTAGGTTATGATTTATACTATAAGAGTAGGGTCCAAACTTGTACTGCGTTTAGAATAATATGGATTTAGTTATAAGATGAGTTTGAAGCGGGTGGTAAGTAGCCACGCGGCCTATAAAGAGACTACTAAAAGATAGTAAGTAACCATACTTGGTATCAGTCATATCTATTTTTGAATATGGGAGTATCTTTAAGCAGGCAGCTTGTCTACAGTGATTCCGGATACTGGTGTCACTACTTATACTCTTTGATTGTTTTAGTAACCCTGGAGTGAAAATAAGCTACACTAATTTCGGACTGGAAGGGAATAATTGTTTTCCTGTGCCAGACAATGTATTGTAAATACTAGTTATATTGTTATAATAATATGCTGGGTAATCTATGCACTTGTCCCTTGGTATAGAAATTTCTGGATTTAGAATGAGTGGCAAGCTGGCTGTGATAACCTTAGAAATAAAGAAATTAATCTTTATTGTAGGCTAGTTATAAGATACTAGGTTGAAGAAAGGAAGAGAAATAATAACCCTCTGTATGAAATAATAAATAAATCCACTGTGTGGGATAAACAAACTAAACACTGTAAATAAAGTAAATACCTCTGTTAGGTCTTTGTTAGGGTCTCTGTTGGAACATTATTTCTGTCAGAATATTATACTGGCTATATTTACGGAACTATCCAGAAGCCACTGTAGAGTTTCTTGTTTATCTTAAAAAATGATTTATAAGCCTTAATTATCCCAGGTTCTCTATTTACAAAGAGATTAGAAAGTAAGAGACTTGAGTGGAATACAAAGAATATTAATCTAATATGTATAGAATCCTATAATGGAAACTTGACTACTAGGATACCCCAGGGCAAGTGTGGCGTCTTTAATAGTATAACATGAAAATAAGCGATAATCAGTAGGCAGCCAGAGTATATTTTGATCTACCAATATAATCCAGGTATCTAGTAAAGATATTTAGAAATTAGGATCAGAGTTATTCAGAATTAAAAGAAATAAATCTAAATAGCCTTTAAGCGTCTGCTACTACATACCGGTAGCTGTATCCCAGAGCTTGATAGTCTTATCATCCGAGCCTGATATTAGGGTAAGCCTATTAGAAGAGAAGGCTACTAAATTAATATAATCTGAATAACCCTTAAGCGTCTGCTGCTATATGCCGGTAGCTGTATCCCAGAGCTTGATAGTCTTATCTTTTAAGTCTGACACCAGGGTGAGCCCATCAGGAGAGAAGGCTACTGAATTAATATAACCTGAATAGCCCTTGAGTATCTGCTGTTATATACCGGTAGCTGTATTCCAGAGCTTGATAGTCTTGTTGTCTGAGCCCGACGCCAGGGTAAGCTTATTAGGAGAGAAGGCCACTGAATTAATATAATCTAAATAGCTCTTGAGTGTCTGCCGCTGCATGTTAATAGCTGTATCCTAGAGCTTAATAGTCTTATCACCCGAGCCTGACACTAGGATAAGCCTATTATGAGAGAAGGCTACTGAATAAACTAAACCTAAAGGGCCCTCGAGTGTCTGCCGCTGCATGCCGGTGGCTGTATCCCAGAGCTTGATAGTCTTGTCGTCCGAGCCTGACGCCAGGGTGAGCCCGCCCGACGCCAGGGTGAGCCCATCAGGAGAGAAGGCCACTGAATTAATATAACCTGAATGGCCCTCGAGCGTCTGCTGCTGCATGCCGGTGGCTGTATCCCAGAGCTTGATACTGCACAAGGTTAATACTAGGGTGAGCCTATCAGGAGAGAACGCCACTAATTTAATATAATCTGAATAGCCCTTAAGTGTCTGCTACTGCATGCTGGTGGCTGTATCCCAGAGCTTAATAGTCTTATCTCTCGAGCCTAACACCAGAGTGAGCCTATTAGGAGAGAAGGCTACTAAATTAATATAATCTGAATAGCCCTTAAGCATCTGCCGCTATATACCAGTAGCTGTATCCCAGAGCTTAATAGTTTTATCTCTTGAGTCTGATGCTAGGGTAAGCCTATTAGGAGAGAAAGCTACTAAATTAATATAATCTGAATAGCTCTTAAGTGTCTGCTACTGTATGCCAGTAGCTGTATCCTAGAGCTTGATAGTCTTATCTCTTAAGTCTGATGCTAGGGTGAGCCTATCAGGAAAGAAGGCTACTAAATTAATATAATCTGAATAGCCCTCGAGTATCTGTAGGCTTAGGCTCTATAAATCTTTAACTATTAGAAGTATTTATATCTGTTTTAATATTTTACTAAGAAAAGTCTTTTTAATAATACTTTGTACAGGTGTAAATATGAGCCCAGAATTATAGAGTTAAAGTAGAGTAATACCAGCTATATAAGTATGTTAAAGAGTAAACCTCCATGTATCATATAGAAAGTCTGAAAGTTCAGTATCTATACTCTTCTGTGATATACATCAGCCACTGCTTAATTATAGAATTATGGACTTACTTATAAGCTTGTTTTTAGCATATTTATTATTTCTGCTGCCTCCGATATACTTTTAATTAAAGCTAGTATCTTTAACTAATAAAAAAAATAGATTTTTAAAAAGGGAAGAATTAGAAACTTAGAGGTACAACATCTGGTCTGCTGAAGATGATATACCCAGTACTAACAAGAGTATTATAGATCTGCTGAGAGATGCTGGCTAAGGATATACTTGTTTATATTATCTCTTTATATCCTGTAACTTGGCAAAGCATATGTATTCTGTTTAAGGCCTTTTTTTATGATATAAAGGTAATGAAGAATGATCTTGTGGTGTATTCCTGATTTATTTATATGGAAGGGGCTCTCTGTGGTCAAGAGATAGTCTCGGAATGATAAATGGAGAATGCGGATTAGCGAATTAATATTTTCTGGTATGTTAAGAACTGAGTGAAATCTATCCAGGCGATTATAAATGTTATTTATTAATAAGTTAATTAGTTTTGCAAGACTTTGACCAGAAAGTGGAGTAGTAAAAAGGATAATAACTCTAATTATATCCTGGAATTCTTGTTTTAGCTGCTTAATCTCCGTGTGATTTATACCTGCAAGAAGTTAATTCAAAACGGGCAAGTATATTTTATCTAATTAAGAGCCTGAGGATGCTGCTGGGTCTTTAAGAATAATTAGAAGATATTTTTTGGGGGGCTATCTTAGGTTATTAATAAAGTAATAAATAGTGGCCGCGGAAATGAATAACAGAACTGCCCTTTTTACTAAAGTATCAAGAATATCATCTCCTGGCTATTTATCTGAAATCTTTTGGCTTCTTTTAATTATCAAAAGCTTGTTTTCAAGGAAAAATCGTATATCCTTCTTAATTACTATATTAGAAAGCTCGTGGAGGACTAAACATTGATGATTATGACTTTCTTTGAAGATAGGACAAATTGGCAGTTTAGGCCGGCTTGTTAGAAATATTTGGATATATCTAGATTTATATTTCTGTACCTGTGGTAAAAGCTGGAGTAGAGTTTGTATATCATCTTTATCGTCACATTTATTTAATGCGTTAATAACAATCATAATAGCTGTGAGGTTATTCTTATCTAGGTTGAGAAGTGGCCCAAGGAGCAATTTAGTGAATTGATCTTTTATTGATTTCCCTGATATATATGGGTCTTCCTTAATTACCCTTACTACATTGTGAATTAATATAGGAACTTAGAGCAGAAGCTGTGCGCAGATTATAGTAAAGAATCTTTTAACAGTACCATGTTTATCCTCTCTATGTTTAAAGAAGAAACTGGCATCTAGTTTATTTTTTTTTTTTAAAGTATTGAGCTAATATTCGAGAAATTATTAATTTTTTAATGCCTGCTATCCTATTTAACTAAAATATATAATCTTGGCCTGGACTATCTGCCTATTCTAGGATCTGATGGAGTAGGCCAACCCTTGTTTTTGGATGGTATATTAAATCATGCTTATTCTTAAATGCATCGAAATTCGACTCTTTTGTAAATGGCAGTTTATTAAAGACTTGTTTGTGCTTATTGTCAATACTAAGAGTCTTAACTGTAGTACTTGTGTCTTTAACAGTATTATACACTTCTTTTATAGATTTCTTAACTTAAAAAGTGGTTAGTAAAACATGCTATTAAAAATATGAAGATAAAATATATTACATAGCTAAAAATTATATACTTTTTTTAATTAGATCTATATTTATGACTTCCTGTCCTGAAATAAGCTAAAAAAGTTCTTTTGTATATACTGCTGCTGCTGCTGCAGTATACAGTTGCTAGATCTTGTTTTTATATGAATTAGTATAATCATAGACACCTTAAATAATAAGATAGGGAAATAAGTCTATAAGTCCTGATAAAAAGTAAGATATTAAGTTTTTTTGTGTGCAGGCAGAGTATATTACTGACTAGCAGCTTCTATTTTAAAATAGATGATTTTTTCTTCCTGTGTTTATTTATTTTTTAAGATAATATCTTTTATTACTTGATCTGCTGAGCTAATAGTCCTATAGTGTAACTGAGGTAAGCTGTTAGGATGGTCTTTTTTTTTTATAAGGTTCTGGTCTAAGAGTCTATAATAAGCTTGATATGATTTCTTTCTCTCTTCATAAATAATAGTAGACTTGAAAAGATAATCCTTTTTAGATCCTGGATATTAGAACTTTATTACTAGTGTTAGATATCTCAAAATTGTATCTAAGAATGTTTTAGAGATTTTATATTCTTTTAGCTGATATTATGCTTTGAGATAAGCAACGGCACCTAAAATAATATTTGGTAGTTTGTTTAGTTTACTGCCGGTATAGATAAATTCTTTTTCTTGTAATAACTTCCTAAAATTATATTATATAACAGCATTAGAAGACTTTAAGTGAATGCTTATTACTATATTATTAAGTTGTATATCTTGTATATCTTCTGGGTCGTCTTCAGATTCCTCAGAATCTTTGTTAAATTTTATAACCCTCGTCTTTGATTCTCGCAGAGTTATTATTTTCCCGTGTATTATAATATAGTGCTCTACTGCTAATACCTATTATTAGCCTAAATCTGACGGCAGGGAAGCTGCGGATCATGTCTTTAGTAATAATAGTAGCAGAAACACTGCCTGTTGTTTCTGCTGGTAAACAAGTAAGTACTATATTATGATTACTAATTCTACCAAGAGTGTATATATTAGAATTATGTTATAGATTAACTGCTGGGAGAACAGGATGCTTTTTATCTAATATAGATATGGCAGTTGTTAGCTTAGTGTCTGGTAAAGCACATATCCAGCTGATAGTGTAGTTGCTATAAGTTAAAGTTTATGGGGATTTGGTTATGCTTATGCTGAGAGGACAATATATTTTATTGTTAGTTTATAATAATATAAGAATTCTGATTTATAACAGTCTTTAAGTAGATAGGCTGAGGAAGGTGTTAGGTTTCAGAGGAATCTCGAGAGGAACAGGGTAAGATTAATAGTGCGGGGTTATTATTAACTGTTGGTAATCGCCAGCTACTAATCTCCTTTGGATGGAAAAAAGTAACCCCGCCCTACAATGAGCTGGCGCGGCTGAAGGACAAGGATCTTGTTGTTATATGGTAAGGTAATTTACTATACACGCACGGAGTAAAGATATTCCCATCTGAAAACCAAAAGTAGTTTAGTACAGTTTCATGGCAGGGTTGCTGAGACAATGGAAGAGTGTAGGTAGTGACATCAGTATCCGGAAATCCTGTAAAAGTTGACTATTGCCTGTGACCGAGCGGATCAGAAAGATAAAAAGGAGCACAGGGCGGGGGGCTAATAGATCCACTATTATGTTTTACACATGCTCTGTTGCTTCAGGTCTAGACGCTTGTATTATTATAATCTATTTAGAACTGATTATAGAAGCTGTTGTATCTTGCGGCCATAATATAAAAGCCTGAAATCTAATATAAGTATATCAAAATATTAAAGTAAATCTCTAAACCTAGTGGAGAAAAATAGTAAATCCTGAATATCACTCATATGTAAGATAATTACTAAGTACCTTATAGGCTATCTTTCCTATTTCCCAGGCCTTTGTAATCTTGAGCGACTAATTTAAGAAAGGCTAGTAATATTACTTTACAGAATTTAGAATAAAGATACTATTAAAAAAGTTTTTCAAATTTATACCGGGTATTATAAAAAGTTATCCAGCTTTAGCACCTATATTAGAGAGTATATCTAATATTATGATTCGCTGGTGCCAAATATCTGAGTTAAAGATGATTAAAGATGCTATATTAGATCTTTTTGTTTAAGCTAAAGATTATCCGCTTGATATTCCCGTGATCGAGCTTTGTGGATTTGCTCCCACCGGGCCTAGTAGTGAGTTTTTAAATATTTATGCGCGGGCTTAGCTCTTAGAAAGCCAAGTATATTATTTTTCTGTAAAGCTTTTGTATCTTTATTATTAATATAACTTGCTATCCTGCCGATTGATTGTGAAGTTAAATATAAACCAGGGATTTATAATAATCTTACGCCGGTTATAAAGAATAAAGTTGTAATATAAGAGATATTAGAATAATAGATTTAAGTAATATACAAGCTTTTAGGGCCGATATTTGAAGCTGTGGTTAATAAATTATAGGAGCTTTAATTAAATCTCCTGTATATAGAAACCTTTAATAAAATATTGCTTATGTATGCCGTCTGGATAATAGAGGGGAAAGTAGAAATCTGAGATTTCGGTATAAACCCTTATTATATCTGTTCTGTAACCTGGACAGTGTAGGGCCTAGTACTAACTTGTTAGCTGCTCTCAGGTAACTATAGTAATCTTGTTTGCACGATCAAAGATAGAATTATGGTAGAATTTGTTAATATAAGAATAATAGAAGATATGGCTGCATCTCAGGACTAGTTTAACACTTTTGTTATAGTATATTTTGTATATGAAGTCTGTTTTATTAGTTATTTTGTCAGGCTTATTATATCTAATATCGGCCGGGTCATCTGTTATACCAGTTAGTATCATGATGATACTGCTTTTATCCTCTGCCATTGTTAATGTTACTATAATTATTAACTTTTTAGTTAATAACCACGACCTCAAAGTTCAAAGTTAGGGGCTGACTTAATATTATAGCTAAGAAATTATTATAGTAAGCTGTAGGTAAGTAGTAATCTTGGTTTTATGTTCCACACACTCAGTGCGGTATAACAAAAACTAGGTATTATGATTTACAAAGATGTAGTCTATAAGTATCTTTTCTAACAGCTATAATTACTTTATTAAATATCCAGAAAGCTGAGAAGTAAGGTAATAAATACTGTTATTTTAGCAGCTTTTAAGTAATTACTTTTATTTTATTTATTATAGCTAATTCTGTGGTCTATTAGTTGATTAAGAATGGCTTATTTTCTTATGGGAAGCATCCAGGACCCTATTCCTGTTAATTATTAAGGGAATAGATTTGAATTTTAGTTTCTCTTTTTGATCCGAGATACTTTTTACAGTCCTCCAGAGAGCCGGACCCTTGATAAAGATAAAGAACTTAAACTTTAATTATTATTTTTTATTTAGGATATTTCTTATAGCCCCCCGGAGAGCCAGACCTTTAATTATAATAATAAACTTGAGTTTTATTTGTTTTTGCTCTGAGAGTAAAGTATTATTTCTAATAATACCCTTTATGATCTTTTAGAGAGCCAGACCTTAGATTATAATCTTAAAAGCATCTAGAACTAGACTCCTGTTAATAACTATTAAAGGGATAAACTTGGATTTTAATTTTCCTCTTTTATTTAAGAGTCAAGTGTTGTTTCTGGTGATACTATACCAGATACCTCTTATAGCCTCCCAGAGAGTAAGATGTTTAGTCGGGAACCTAGCCCAGCTCAGATATAAAGCTATAAACTCTAACTAGGAAGTGTATATTATAAAATCTCAAAATCAGAGCTATTATTCGGAGATAGTAAGTCAAGTCTGATTAAACTGCTAATAGATAATTGGCTAATCTTATAGTTATTTCGAGTTTCTTTCTAATATATGTAAATAGTGATATTGTAGGGTCTACAGTGCTCTGTTTAGCACAGTAATTAAATATAGATGGCAGTAAATAATACCTGGGTCTTCAGATCAAGTGGTACTCCGAGGCTGAATGGAGTTAGTAGAGGCAATTAGGATCAGCTCAAAGTATGTAGGTTCTTTTGATAGGTAACTGTATATGTATAGTTCAGGCTGTGTATGGAGCTATCCTAAATTAGATAGTATAAGTGAGGATTATAGAAATACTAGGTATTCTAAGGTGAAACTTGCAGGAAAGGTTGACTAATTTTAACTAAATTAAGCAAGTAAGGCCTTTGGGAGCACCGGGGCTGTTTAATCAAGGTAACTGCGGCCATTTGTCAGGTTGCAAGGCGTAGAGCTATTAAAACTGGCTACTGAGGCTTATTAAAAATCAAGCTGCTAAGGCCTTTAATAATTTCGAGTGCTATTTAGATGATAATATTGCTTAATCTACATTTTAATTATAGTGTTTTCTAGCTATTTATAGTGCTTTCTTAAGGATTAAATTAATAAAAAGATTATTAATTTATAATTTTATTTTATAATATGGTGAATTGCGTGATTTCGGACATTCGAATGAGCAAGGCGATGATTAATTAGTTAATTGCTCCACCACCCGAACTGTAATATACCCTCTTATCAATAAGTGAGGTCTAATTGCCTTCTTAAGTGAGGATGAGGTGTTTAATATTAATAAGATTTAATATCCTGAGAAACTTGTGGTATTTCTGACTGGGAAGGGCCTTGATAAGGCCATCAGTAATCATCTGGTTAGCAGGGATCTATTTTATATGGAGATCTCCTCTCTGTGCTTCCTGACGGATCTATAATCAGTATATATTAATATAGTATAGCTTAGATCTCTGCTTAACGTCCTTGGTGTTGACTAATCGAACAGTCTGTTGATTATTATAATAGATGTTAATTTTGTGTCCGGGATCAAATCCCATGGCTCTTCTACTAATACATGGCCTTGGCTGCCTCAGAGAGAGCAAGGAATTCAGCCTTAGTAATAGAGGTAGTCACTGCGTGTTATTTTCCTGGTTTCTATTCAATTAGATTATTGTATAGCTTATAAAGAACTTTTTCTATTAGGGCGATTAGTTTGCGTAGAGGTAGGTGATGACTTGATCTACGGCGGCCAAATAATTGGGTGACGGGTTCTTTAAGGTTTTAAATAGGCAGCGCGGGTAAGTATAGCAGGGAACTGCGCTGATCCGATTTTTGAGGAGTATTCGTGTATGTGGTGGTCTGCTGCCTGACTGTTATTTTATTATTTCTTGTATTGTTTAAATCACCTCTTATCCTCTTAGATTACTTAATAGCTTTAAATTTATTTATCTCTGAAAAAGATCTGAATTGCCGGTAGATCACCTGCCTGTGCTAAGCAAGTAATCTAATATTTTATACAAGTAAATCTTTATCAGAATATATAGATATAATATTAATAAAATATAAAGAAGCTATTTTCTGGGATCTATTAACTAGTATCTTTATATAAGTCTTTTTTAATTATAGCACATTCAGGGATCTAATTATATGAAAATCCTTATAATTTATATATGCGCTAAAGTGTTTTTTTTTCTTTCTTATAATCGCATTCCGCAGTTTACGAAATATCTTTATTATTATATGACAAATTAAATAATCTGCTTATCTCACGTAAGGAGATCAGAGTAGTTAATGTGTCATCTTGGCTGATAAACAGGTCTTTGCTAGGGCCTTTTAAGTATCTAAGAAGCATGCCCTTAAGATTGTTAAGAAATTCTTTTTAAGTGCCTAGTCTGTCCTGTCTCTTCTGTATTGCCCAGATAAGACAAAGCTAAGGGACCAGAATCTCCCAGCTATTATTATCAGACTTCTCTAGCTCTGAAAAGTATCTATAGTTATATATTAGGGGGGTATTACTCTATTTTTTTATATATTGCTTTCTGGTGCAGAAATCTTTAAGTCTGCCTTTTAGCAAAGCTTGGTCTTGCTTTATATCCCAGCTGTATAAGAATATTTTATAATTAATAGTCCCTAAAGTATTCGGCAGCTTAAGCTTATAATTCATTTCTTAAATCCGAGTATTGATATGTTCTAACTGAGCCACTGCTTCCTCTACTTTGTTAATTTCCATAGGCTCTGCTATATAGGCTTTATATAGCTGGATTATATAATATGTAGCCCTTTGATGTTTATATCTGTGATATATTTAAAATTAGTTAGGGCTATAGCTGACACTAAAAGTATCTGCTATTTTAAAAAGATTATCTGTGGTATCTTGTTTAGGAACTTCTAGTAGGCGATTAGCGTGTTTTTATATATTAGAAATATATCTAAATACCAGGCACTAAAGCTATTATTTGCTAGTCTCTACGCGCAGTATTATATGATTCGGATAAATATGTTATTACTAAAAGGTATTTAGCTGTATAAAGCTATTTTTCTTATCTCTCTAAGTAGCCATGTCACTGTAACCCGGCTGAATGGTTAGATAATCTATGTAAAATTATCTTTATTATCCGAATTAGCCCTTATATTAAGCACAGGCTTTATAATATGTATTATACTATAATACTAAATTTACTGTATACAAGAATTATTATTTATAATTAGAGGAAACCAGAGTGTATTCTCTAGACTAGCCGCCCTTAACTATCTAGGTAACCAAATTAATCAGTTACTTATGTTAAGCTTTGTCTGTATTAAAGTAGTTAAATTATTTATTTACTGTTATTGTACCTCTAATAGTCTTATTATATCACTTATAAAGGCGTTCTGATTGGCTCCCTTAACAGTAGCTAAAGTATTATGTTAGGCAGCTTTTTTTTCAGGACTCTTTCCCTTACTATTGCCTGACGTAGATACTGTGAGGTCAGGCCTATTTATTTTACTTTTATACCTCGGAGATAACTAGACTACTAGTTTTTTAGGCGGGATTCTTCTGTTCTGTTTGAAGAGCTAAATAATATTATAGTCTGTATTAGTACGGCTTCGGAGCTTCTGATATTTAGATTGTATAATTAGAGGCCTCTTAATATTCTGTAATTCTCCTGTTTCTGAGTAGTCTGCTATTAATAGTATAACCTAGATCTCAGGGGCCCTTTATTTTTAGTTTTCTAAGGTATAAATAAAAACAGCTTCTAATTTCTGCTAGTGTTTTTTATCTTCCTTAGTAATCTTCCTAACCTTATTAATTATATTAGAGGCCAAGTATCTCTCTCTTAAATTTTTGCCTATTATACTACCGGATTATAGTTTACTAATGGGAACCCCTTTATCTGGCAGAACTGTAAAAAGATATGCTGGTTAACTGTACTTTACACTTATTACTTATGTTCTATGGCTGTATATGACCTCCCTATCCCTTATAGTTAAGACAGAGCTGGAGGTGCTTAGAAGAGCTGGGCTACTTGAACTTTTACCAGGTTTTAAAGCTTAGTTATTATGTACTAACCCTGTATTTTTATTTAATCTTAAGGCTTGACTGCTTCAGTCTGGCTGTTTTATACTATTACTTAATCTTATAGCCCTGTAGTTATTATCTGGCTTTATTAAGCTAATGTTTTCTCCTGATTCCAGATGCCTTATTGCCCAGGAGCGCGGGTAATTCTTTTCTATAATGTATTCTTCTAGTGATCTGTGGCGCTGGTTAAAGCTTATATCACTAGGCCGGGCAGCAGCCAATTCATAATAATACAGAATAAGACTGTCTAGGCTCTATAGATCTATTATGCTATTATTAGTATAATACGCACTAGCCTGAGAGTTCAGGTAGCTGATTTCTATTACCACATCTATATTTTCGGGATCTTTTTTCAAGATCTCTATATAAGGATTGGCCAATATATTAAGGGTTATAGGGACTGCTTTAGAAGATTTATCCAGATACTAGCTTTGGGGCCAGTTGTTATGTAATTTCTCGTATTTAAATATTAGAAATATAAATATATAAAGGGTCATCTGTAACATATCTTCTAGATCTTAACATAATAATTTATATAATCAAGTTCTCTTCTTAGCCAGCGCGCTGATTAGTCTAATATTAAGGTTAAAAATTTTCTGTGTTAATCCTTGTTTAATTATTCTGTATATAATGTTTGCCTTATCAAGAGCTCCTTTATAATTAGGATCTGACAGAATTTATTAGATATCAGAAGCTACTCTCTTATAAACTTGTAAAACCTTAGCTGGCGCGGTCTGTGGCATTTTCTTTTTCTTTAACTGGTTAATTTGGCGCAATATAAGCTTAAGAGTTAATTCTCTTTTTAGCTCTTTGTTTAAGCTAGTTAGCAGATTGTTAAACCTTTCTTCGTGTTTATTATTTTTAGTCTGGTTATTCTCATTATCTGATAAATCAAATGCTCCTACGTTGAAGCTTATACTAGCTTGCAGATTATTAAGTACTAATAGGTTTTTAATAAGCTGATAGTATGCTGTTTGTACCCCTAAAAGCTCTATTAATAATATTATTAGCTTATGGTTAAGAGATTTGTTCTTTATACTTAAATACTATTTTGGCTTTGCTTTTGGACTTTTTATTTTTCTGATAGTAGTCAGGATAGACTAGTATAATTTTTTTGAAAAAGGTATATTTTATTTCTTTTTTGTTAGCTGTTTTGCGAACGCCTAAAATATGTTTATAATTAGTTTGTTCTCCCCTAAGTATTTTATTGACTGCTTGCTTCTGCATTTCTGGAGTAATTAATTTTACAGGCTTTTTAATAGTAGGCGAATCTGAGTTTCCGTCTTCTTTATCTGGTATATGAGTATTATTTGAGCTTTGTCCAGGCCCAGAACTTAATAGATCTGATAAATATGTTATTTTCGGAATAGGAGGGGGGTTTTCTCCTCTTCTAGAACCTATGATAGTGTCTAAGTCCTGGTCTGTTCTTGTAAGAGAGGCATGCGAGTACTGGTCTATAAAAGGATTCCAGATATTTGAGGTTTAATTAGTATTATGAACTGGAGTACTGCGGGCCTTTCCGGCCTTGGAACTTCCTTCCTCTTTATAAAGGATTGGAAGGGCTGGATACTGTATTTTGTACTGATTGCTGCTATCTATAATTAAGAAGTAGTAGTATATATATATATTTTTCACAGTATGACTTTGGATTGTAGTCTAAGTAGTGTGGTTTTTATTGATGGCAGTGTCTGTATTTATATAATATATGCTACTTTTTTGGGGTAAAAGCATACCAAAAATGCGATCTTGAGATTTCATATATTATAAGAATCGACCAAGGCAGAGGGCTTTATACAGTCATTCTCGAAATCGGCTTGACCAACACACAATGAGACTCTCTTTCTCGGCCCCACTGCCAAGGCCTTAGCGCAAGTAGATTATTTGACGGGCCCTTTTAATTAAGGGCCATTAAAAGATGCATTTTATATGGTACATTAAGTAAGTTATAATATTACATGTTACGTACCCACTTGGCATAGAATCCTTTAGAAACTCTTGGTGGATGCTGCTTAGTAGCAGTAATATCAAAATTTCCCCAGCCTTTGCTAGGTCAATCAATTCCAAAAAAATAGCGGGAATTACTGGACAAATTATAAGTCTGTTAGATATTTTCCGCGTAAGTAGTACCGAAATGGCTTCCTGCCAGGACCAAAGAACCGAAAAGAATAAAACAATTATTTCTTAATACATAAGGACAGTTATCCACTAAAATCTATATATAATCCTTAACGCATTTATATTCTTAATAAATAATTAGGTCTGATTATGATCAGGACCGAGGGCTTTCTTATAGCCTGCCAGTACTTACTAGTACAACTCCTCGGCCTCCTGCAGCTTGCCCTGATGTTTATAGAGACTCCCAAGGTTATTAACTGTCTAAAGGGTAGATATATGATCTGGACCGAGAATCTTCTTCTTCCCTATTAATGCTTACTGATACAATTCCTCAGCCTTTTATAGCTTGCCCTAATATTTATAGAAACTCCTAAGGTTATTAACTGTCTGAAGGGTGGATATATGATCTGGACCGAGGACCTTCTTCTTCCTTATTAATGCTTGCTAGTACAACTTCTTAGCCTTCTGCAGCTTGCCCTGATATTTATAGAGAATTATAAGATTATTAATTATCTGAAAGGTAAATATGTGATCTGGACTAAGGGCCTTTTTATAGCCTACTAGTATTTGTTAATATAACTTTTTAGCCTCCTGCAGCTTGCCCTGATCAGAGTAGAGAATTATAAGATTATTGACTGTTTAGAGGATAAATGTGTGATCTGGACTAAGAATCTTCTTACAGCCTGCTAATACTTATTGGTATAACTCCTCAGCCTCCTGTAGCTTGCCCTGATGTTTGTAGAGAATTATAAGGTTGTTAACTATATTAAGGGTAGATAAGTGATCTAGACTAAGGGCCTTTTCACAGCCTGCTAGTACTTGCTGATATAACTCCTCGGCCTCCTGTAGCTTGCCCTGATTAAAATAGAGATTATTAAGATTATTAACTGTCTAAAGGATAGACGTGTGATCTAGATTAAGGGCCTTCTTATAGCCTGCCAGTGCTTGCTGGTATAACTCCTTGGCCTCCTGCAGCTTACCCTGATTAGAGTAGAGATTCCTAAGGTTATTAACTATCTGAAGGGTGAACATGTAATCTGGACTGAGGGCCTTCTCACAGCCTACCAGTGCTTGCTGGTATAACTCCTCGGCCTCCTACAGCTTACTCTGATATTTGTAGAGACTTCTAAGGTTATTGATTGTCTAAAGGGTAGACATGTGATCTGGATCAAGGGCCTTCTTATAGCCTGCTAGTACTTGCTGATATAACTTCTTAGCCTTCTGCAGCTTGTCCTGATTGGAGTAGAGAATTATAAGATTATTAACTGTATAAAGGATAAACATGTGATCTGGACTAAGGGCCTTCTTATAGCCTGCTAATACTTGCTGATATAACTTTTCAGCCTCCTGTAGCTTACCCTGATTAAAGTAGAGATTATTAAAGTTGTTAACTGTTTAAAGGGTGGATATATAATCTGGACTGAGAGCTTTCTTATAGCCTACTAGTGCTTGCTGGTATATCTCCTCGGCCTCTTATAGCTTACTCTAATAAAAGTAGAAATTACTAAGATTATTAACTGTTTAAAGGATAAATATGTGATCTGGACCAAGAGCTTTCTTAAAGCCTACTAGTGTTTATTAATATAACTCCTCAGCCTTCTGCAGCTTGCTCTGATTAAAGTAGAGATTATTAAGGTTATTAACTATTTAAAGGGTAAATATATGATCTGGACTAAGGGCCTTTTTACAGCCTGCTAGTACTTGCTAATATAACTCCTCAGCCTCCTGCAGCTTGCCCTGATTAGAGTAGAGACTTCTAAGGTTATTAACTGTATTAAGAGTAGATATATGATCCAGACTGAGGATCTTCTCCTTCTCTACTAGTGCTCGCTAGTATAACTTCTCGGCCTCCTGCAGCTTGCTATAATCAGAGTAGAGGACTCCTAAGCTATGGAATGCTCCCTATACCGTAATATTATAGCCTAGACAGCCCCTATAACATACATAATTCATGTGTGGAATAAGCCATTGCTGAACCTTAGAATAATTTCTGGTACTTGCACTAAGGACAGTATACCCAATAAATACCACTGCTAGTTTATTAAGCTGAATTAAATTTAAAGTTTTATCTGTACTAGTAAGGTAAATGTACTAGTCTTGTACCACCGGGTATATAATATAGCCCCCTTCTTGTTCCTTGGCCTCCAGTAAAGAGAACCCGATAAGAGCCTTAACACTAATTTTAAATATAATTCCGCTTATTATTATCTTTTCCAGCCAAGTTAGGAGATTTGAGCTATATTAACTATTTTTTATTAGTTTAAACCAGATGTTTTAATTATCAAAACAAGCAAGGAACAGTAACAGTTTAGCTGTGTTCGCGTTCCGCTGCTGAATATCACGATATAAGATCATCTATATTTTCAGCATATTGCCTTGCTGGTACTAGCATTCAGGATTTAATTATAACTGTAGGTCGGACTAAGATATCTGGTAAAATTGCAAATATTCCGTGATACTGGTTCCAGTTTCTCGCATAAACGCCCCAGCAATGATGATTGCTAATAAAAGGCCATCCAGTCTGCTCGCAAGGGCAATAGTATCTATATAGATTAGTATTATAATTAAGATTAAATTCTTGAGTATCTTAATACCTGGATTACTCTTAAACTTCTTAGTTGTATTCCTTATTAATAGATGGTTACTTTATAAAAGCAGTTAAATTGTATTCTTTAAGTTAAGTCTATAAATAAGAAATACCTTTCCTAGCTCTGTCAATTCTTGCAGCCAAGAGATAATAAAAATAGAGCTATAATCAGCTCGAGAAAAGAATTCAAGAAGATCATATACTTCACTAATAGGGCCATTAAAAGGGGAGTAGTAATCAATATTATTAAGAATAATCAGCCAGCGTAAGTTTCCCTCTATAACTAGCTATTTTAAGAGTTCTCTAGCTCGTTACTCCACCTCCTCATTATTTATTACCCTATTATCACACAACTGTCCCGGCAATCAGGGCAGGATAGAGCTTAAAGATTATAATAACATGCCTTAATCCTTACCACTTAGCTAGAAGATAATAGTAAAATTATCTTTATAATCTCGTGCGAAATAAATCACTAGTTATGTCTTTCCCATCCCTCCAAGCCCATAAATAATTACAACCTTTCGTAACTGGGTATCTGTGGGCCATAAATACTGCCAGAGTTAGTCTAGTTTACCTTACTGTCCTATAAAATTCTTAATTACTGGCACATCCGTCAGGTCCAAAAGGATATTAAAGCAGTGAACTATATATATAAACTAACATTTAGCAATTAATTCAAATTATTAAAGGAATATAATTTATATTCTCTTACTAGAGTCTGTGAGTATGTTTCTTGCAGTTAGTATATAGTTAATCTAATTAATTATAACCACCAAGAGAAGCTCTTTTATATAGACTGCTGCCGCCGCCGCCGCATACCCTTACTATTCTTTATTTTTATGTGAGTTAGTGTAATCGCAGATACCCCGAATAATTAAACACAGAAAATTATTTATTAGTCCTGCCGCTTCCATCTCCAAATAATATATACCTAAATCTCGAGCTAGTTAATCTCGCTGCCTGCCATCCTTCACAACTTAATTTACTGATCTAATGAGTCCGTAATAAATTACTGGTTCTTGGTACTCTTATAGGGTTCGTAAAACTAATTTAGATTAATTACAATTAATATAGATATCAGATATAACATAATTATATTCTGCTTAGAATAAACAGTCCTCTTACTTCAGTCGCGTGAATCTAGTAACTTTATAAGATAATAATTTAGCTTCCAGGTTAGAAATAAATCCGACAGCCTAGCTGTCTTCCGTGAAATAATACGCCTGGAGAATCGCGAGAGCGGTTAACAGAACCTTAAAAAGTTAATTAAATATTTCTATTTACTTAAATTAACCACTACTTAATACTTTATCTAAATTATACTAGATCACGCCTCCAAAAGTATCTATTAGTTAGCTCACTACAATATCCCCGAGTCGGATATCTGTATTACTGCTTAGTACTCCACCACTAATACCGACCATTAAGCCAAAGCAGATAGCATAGAAACTAGAGAGCAACTGCATCCCAATTATTACAACAGATATAGTTCTATATACACCAGTTAGTAAGATAGCAATAACAACATTATATTCTCTGATATCCCCAAAAATATATATATTTTAGTCTATTGGCAGGCAAGATAAAAACAGATATATTTTGTCTAATATTAGCTTTATAACTGCTGTCTCCACCAGCAAAGCACAAATCCATCCAACTATATAATTATTATAGGATCAGGTCCTAGCATCTATAGTGGATTAATTCTCTTATAATCAGATTATATCTTATAATTTCTGACCTATCAGTTTGTGTAAAATATAGGAGAAAAAATACTAATATCATAAGAATAAGGTCAGGAGTTTATTAGGAAAGGCAGGATTAAGCTGAGCCTACACACCCGGCCAGTTAAGAGATACACGTGCCCCTAGAATCATACCATAGAAGACTAAGAGTAGCCGTGGTTGCGTCTACCCACCTGTGGCGTACGGTCAGTCCTGCTGGTATTAAACTTTAAAACTGCATCAGTTCAAGCTGGTTCGGTCCGCCCCTACGGCCTACCAATCCGCTTATACAGAATCAGCTTAATTATAAATAGCTCTCAAATAAGATCAACTGCCTTAGCAGTATATAACTTTACTTAAAAATATTATTTCCTAAGCACCAATCACACTGCAGAGAATCCTCTGGAATTATATAAAATTTATTAGCATAGATATTATCAGATCTATTATCGGCCTGTATACCCAGGGACTAATCTACTATAGGGCCTGGAATAAGTCTATATTACACAATCATTCAGACAACCACTCCGCTTCATTAAAAATACTATAGCACCAAACCTCAAACCCCCACAGCTCAAGCTCATTCATCATATAATCAAGAGTAACTCATTAATAATATCTGAGATGGCCCATACAGGTGACTACAGTAAATAATCTATAGTACATATTCACTCCAACCTCAAAGTATTCGGGAAGGTTAGGGCGCCGCGAAATGGTATTAGACACCCGCGAACTATCACACCACCTATGCTCGAAACTCTTTATAAACATTTAATAAAGAAGCCGACCTTATACCAAGATAAGATAGCCCTCTTTCTATAAAACAAATTTAAAAAATATATAATAATTTAAAATATTAGCAGGGCGCTTGCTTCAGTCAGATAATTAAAAAAAGCAGCTTGCCAGATTATAAAAGAACAAAATACAGATTTACAAGACTTCTATCTCTATAATCTATCTTCTTTCAAGTCTTACTAATTAATCTTCATGGATAAGTCCGGCTGTGATAAAAGGGTTGGGTTTTAATAAACTAGTTAATCACCTTTAAGTATAACACCAGTTCAGATTTCCAAATTTTACCAGGACAGATACTATCAGATACTTCCTGCGTATACTTAAGATAGACTAGTCCTGTATCAAGTATTCCAGGGCGCTACTAATACTAATATTTTTAAAGACTTTATCAAGTAACTCTTTTAGCACTGTAACAGATGGCCAGAACCAAAGTCTGTTTTTATTATGGATAATACTTTATTTTATCATACCGGAAACATCCAGCAAATATATATAGATACCAGTATTAAGCTGATATATCTTTTTTCTTATTTACCGGATTTAAACCCTATTAAAGAGTTCTTCTCTAAGCTAAAACAATTTATTAAATGTAAGTAGAATAAGTATAAAATAAATCCAAACCAAGGGTTTGATATATTTCTCAAATAATATATTAAAATAGTTAGTTCAAGGGTTTCAAGCGCGGAGGGCCATTTCCGAAATATAAGTCTATTAATTAATAAATTTTAATTCTTAAGCCGCGACATGGAAGGTATCTCAGATTATATAGGCGCCTAAAAGAACCCACCAGGTTAATTAATGCTTAAACTATATATCTGTTTTACTAGTCACACATCTGTTATATTTTTCTGCCTAGTATCTAATATCCTTAATAAAACACCAAGCAATACCCTATTTAACACCACACATCTTAAAGTAATTAAGATCTTTGTTTTTATCAATCTACACCAAATCCAGTCTATTATCTAAGGCTATATCACACGCTTTTCTAACCTCAGCTTTTAATATCTTATCACCCAAACATGACTATTACCAGCTATTATATTCTCTTACAGCAACATTAAAAAGGCCTAGAATATAGATAACAAAAACCTCAACCGAAGAGGTAGGAGTGTCCTCTAAAAATATGGATGCTGACCACCCCGATGCTTGCGGGGATTATATAAGAAACATATTTATAATATTAATAAAAGGATAGCTTGCTTCAGCAATAGATTAATTATTAGCCCGCGGTCTATCAAGCTATTATCTCTCTACTCTATAGATTTACTCACAAATTATTCCAG